TTGCTGAATCTTTCTTCTGCTGAATCCACTACTGAAATTTTCATTTCAGTTGCTTTACTCCAGAATTTGTTTGGTTCCTTTTTTTTTTTTTTTTTATAATTTCTATCCTTTTATTGATATTTTCATTTTGTTCATACATTGTTTTCCTGATTTCCTTTAGCTCTTGGTCCATGGTTTCTTTAGGCTCATTGAGCATATTGGATAGTTCATTCAATGTCTAGGCTTCCTCTGGAATGGTTTCTGTCAGATTCTTTTTTTCTTGTGAATGGGCACCCTATTTTCCTGTTTCATTGTATGCTTTGTAATTTTTTGTTAAAACTGGGCATTTTGAGTATTATAATGTGGTACCTCTGGAGATTCAATTTTCCCATTCCTCAGGCATGGCTGATTTCTGCTTGTTGAGGGCTGGAGCTGTCAGACTTTTTCAAACTCTTTTGGCAAATTGTATATTCCTTATTGTATGTGGTCACTGAAGTTTCTGTTCCATCATCTCTGCAGTCAGTTAGTACCAGACAAAGATTTACTTAAATATCTGGCTATAAAAAGGGGGAGAAGAAAAGGTCCATTAGCCCTTTAAATCTTCCAATAGATGCTTCTGGGGAAAGCTTCTGTGACTGATGGAGCTAAAATCAAGGCAGTCATCTGTGCTGGTCCCTCAAAGTAACACAAAACCCACCAAACTGCACAACCCTGAAGTTTTTGGAAGACAAAGTCACACTGCCCACCCAGGTCCCAGCTGGCTGTTCCAGGAATACAGGCTGCTGCCCTCCCCACAGTTGTGGTGGGGCTGAGGAGTGAGGGATGTGATTAGCTGGTACACACCATACCTGTGAACTTTTCATACTATGTTACATTAAAATCATTGCACTTTGAATAATCTTTTATCCATGCGTAATTTTGTAACATCATACACCAAATCCACCTGTTTCTACAAATAAAGTTGTATGGAACATAGTCTTACCCATTTGTTTATATGTTTACATATTGTCTATGGCTGCCTCGATAAAATGACAGAGTTGTGACCATTGAGTTGTTAAGACAAAAGAGTTGTTAGACAAAACAAAATCAGCCAAAGCTCATTATGATAAGAATTTGATTCCCATTAAGATACATACCTAGCAGGGGACACTAGATAACCACAACTGGGCAAATAAGGGCTTGACTGATGGAAGCTGACATTTGGTTTGAGGCAACATCAGCATGGGAAAATGAGGGACTTGTTGAAGTGAACTTTGTGGAATCCTCCAGAAAACTATAAAATCAGAACATTAAGATCACAAGAGCTGCAAAATCAAGGCTAAGTTTATTATTTAATAGGGGAGTGCCTTGATGCTCAGGAGTGAGTTCAGTAAAGTCACCTAATTTGTCTTTTATTTCTACTGTAGTTTTTTTTTTTTTTTTTCCTAGTGAAGGAAATAAAATGTGTGGTTTTCTTCTTTTCTTTCAGATTTGGAGTCAACAACATATGAGACCAAAAAAATATTTTCAGAAAAGGATATTTTTGAAATAAATTTTTCCCAATGGGAGATGAAGGAAAAAAGTAAAACCCTTGGCCTTGAGGCATCCGTCTTCAGAAATAATTGGAAGTGCAAAAGCATATTCGAGGGACTAAAAGGATGTCAAGAGGGATACTTCAGTCAAATGATAATCAGCTATGAAAAAATACCCTCTTACAGAAAAAGTAAATCTCTTACTCCACATCAAAGCATTCGTAATACAGAGAAACCCTATGTTTATAAGGAACGTGTGAATGCTTGCAGTCATGGCTCAAAACTTGTTCAACACAAGAGAACTCATACAGCTGAAAAACACTTTGAATGTAAAGAATGTGGGAAGAATTATTTAAGTGCCTATCAACTCAATGTGCATCAGAGATTTCATACTGGTGAGAAACCCTATGAGTGTAAGGAATGTGGGAAGACCTTTAGTTGGGGATCAAGTCTTGTTAAACATGAGAGAATCCATACTGGTGAGAAACCCTATGAATGTAAAGAATGTGGGAAGGCCTTTAGTCGTGGCTATCACCTCACTCAACATCAGAAAATTCATATTGGTGTGAAATCTTATAAATGTAAGGAATGTGGGAAAGCCTTTTTTTGGGGCTCAAGCCTCGCTAAACATGAGATAATTCATACAGGTGAGAAACCTTATCAATGTAAAGAATGTGGGAAGGCCTTCAGTCGTGGCTATCAACTTACTCAGCATCAGAAAATCCATACTGGTAAGAAACCTTATGAATGTAAAATATGTGGAAAGGCTTTTTGTTGGGGCTATCAACTTACTCGACATCAGATATTTCATACTGGTGAGAAACCCTATGAATGTAAGGAATGTGGGAAGGCTTTTAATTGCGGATCAAGTCTTATTCAACATGCAAGAATTCATACTGGTGAGAAACCTTATGAATGTAAAGAATGTGGAAAGGCCTTTAGTCGTGGCTATCACCTTTCTCAACATCAGAAAATTCATACTGGTGAGAAACCTTTTGAATGTAAGGAATGTGGGAAGGCCTTTAGTTGGGGTTCAAGCCTTGTTAAACATGAGAGAGTTCATACTGGTGAGAAATCCCATGAATGTAAAGAATGTGGAAAGACCTTTTGTAGTGGGTATCAACTTACTCGACATCAGGTATTTCACACTGGTGAGAAACCCTATGAATGTAAGGAATGTGGGAAGGCTTTTAATTGTGGATCAAGTCTTGTTCAACATGAGAGAATCCATACAGGGGAGAAACCTTATGAATGTAAAGAATGTGGGAAGGCTTTTAGTCGTGGCTATCACCTGACTCAACATCAGAAAATTCATACCGGTGAGAAACCTTTTAAATGTAAGGAATGTGGGAAGGCCTTCAGTTGGGGTTCAAGCCTAATTAAGCATGAGAGAGTGCATACTAATGAGAAGACTTATGGATGTAAAGACTGTGGGAAGGCCTTTGGTAGTGGCTATCAACTTAGTGTTCATCAGAGATTTCATACTGGTGAGAAGCTTTATCAATGTAAGGAATTCGGGAAGACCTTTACTCATGGCTCAAAACTTGTTCATGAGAGAACTTGTAATGATAAACCCTACAAATATAAGGAATGTGGGGAAGCCTTTCTGTGGACAACTTACTCAAATGAGAAAATTGATACCGATAAAACCTTATGATTGAAAGTTGTAACAGAACATTTTGTGTGTGTTTACAGACAACTCATCATAATAAGAACTCTTACTCTTGAGAAACCTTGTGAATGTAAGGGATGTGCAAAAGCCATTAGTTTCTGTGTATGGACAATTATCTTGCTATCCAGCAATTCATACTAGTGAGAAATATTCTGAATATAACTAATATGAAAAGGCCTTTAGACTTCTGTACACTTATTGGATATCAATTTATACTGATGTAAAATCATTTAAATGTAAGGAATGTGTGAAGATCTTTATTAATGACACAAAGTCTGATAACATCAGATAATTGGTATTTGTTAAAAAGGTTTAAATGGAAGGAATGTGGGAAGGACCTAAACTTAATTCAGTTCTTGCTGCACATCCGAGAATTCATACTGCTGTGTAATCCTATGCACATAAGGAATTTGGGAAGGCTTATAGACATAGTAAATATCCTAGAGTACATCAGAGAATTCATCAAAATGAGAAATCATTTGAATTAGAATTAAAGGAAGGCCTTTAGACAGATGCCACTCAAATTATTATCCAGAGACTGGTGCAGTCATAAAATTGTCATCTGTCAATCATGAGATAGATGTGGAAAGTCAGTAAATATTTGGAACTTTTATAGCAATTTGACATTTCCATAACATTCTTTATTCTATTTTACAAAATTATCAGTCCATAAATGATTGAGAATTGAAAACAAAGTTTGTTCTCTTCCAGAAATAATTTTAGAGACAAGACTCACATTTTTCAAGACATGAGACAAGTCACGATATAATTTAATGTAAATAAGAAATTCTTCACTTGCACCTCTCTGATTAGACTAGCAGGACAGTCATACTATAGCAAGATTTGGCAAATGAGGTAATCAAAATTTCCTAATGCCTGTAACAGCATAAGATAATTTATACCAGATATGTTAAATGTACAGAAGCCTTCTAACACTATTCAATCTTTGTTAAACTTCAGTAAATTCATCCTAGAGAATAACTCTGTTAATGTAACAAATGTAGGAAAACCTTTATCCATGGCATATACCATACTGTCATCACCATTTCACCTCCATACTACCTGTAGGATGGTGAGCAAAATGCTTATCTCCTCTGGACATGATGTTTAAAATGCTGATGGTGGCCGGGCGCGGTGGCTCAAGCCTGTAATCCCAGCACTTTGGGAGGCTGAGACGGACGGATCACGAGGTCAGGAGATCGAGACCATCCTGGCTAATACGGTGAAACCCCGTCTGTACTAAAAAAATACAAAAAACTAGCCGGGCGAGGTGGCGGGTGCCTGTAGTCCCAGCTACTCGGGAGGCTGAGGCAGGAGAATGGTGGGAACCCGGGAGGCGGAGCTTGCAGTGAGCTGAGATCC